CCGGGCGAAGGCGATTTCAGGCCCGCTTTGGAGAATCCGGTCGACTCACCGGAGGGTCGATTTCCTCCGTTTCTCCCCTAACCCCGTAACACCCCCCACCCACCCCCCACCCCGTGAAGGAGGTCCTTGAGATCCGGAAACTTGGACTACCGTCGGTTTTTTGTGGTTTTAGTTTTAATCCTTAAAAAGGATTTTTTCAAAAGACCCCTTTCCACCTTCTGAAAAGGTTGAGTCTGGGGTCTCTATCAAAGGCAGGGATCTCTCCAGCGGGAAACCGGGCAAAGGCAGACCTGGGGGCGGGGGGTGGGTAAAAAAAGAGCCCACGGCCGGTTTCTCCGTCTGACTTCAAGACCTTTTTACTCGCTTATTATTAAGAAAAGAGTGGGGAGGGGAAGGACGTGTTATGTGTTAGACACACTCGCGCACAATATGTGTAATAGGCAGTCTTTTCTCCCACTTTCCCCAAATAGGCCTCTAAAATTGGGGGGGTAGAGAAAATTGAGAAGGAAGGAAAGCAAAGATCCAAATTTTATCAACGCTGCCCGATTTGGGGATAATTTCACGACGTGAGTCGCCTCCCCCCCAACTTTCCCCGAAATTGACAAATCCTAACTAGGCGCCATTAGGTGCAAGACTCCCCCCCCCTTTTTTTCTGCCTGGGAAGAGGGGGGAGTTAAGAAAGTAGACTTCCGAAATGTGATGAGCACCTGCCTAAATCCTTAATCGACCAGTTTTGTTTTTTTCCCAGAATGAGGGAAGTTTTGTGTTGGGGTTTAAATGCTTCAACGGAAGAAACAACAAAATAATAATAATAATTAGGAGCCTTGGCTGGGGTGTGGGGGGGGACCCCAGCTTGAAACAGCAAATCGCCAGAGCCGTTTCATCCTCGTGAAAACAATTTTATTATTTGAGACGTTGATTTATCTCGGCGTTGTACAATCCACGCGCGGGCGGGTTAAGACAAACCTGTTCGCCTTGGAGTGACCAGCAGTGGCAGCTGGAGAGGAAGAGGCGAAAACGGTGAGGGTTTTTTTTTTTGGCCTGTGGAAACTGTCGGGACAAGCAGGCGAACGTGGAGGAGAGGAAGGAAGGAAGGAAAGGGAAGGAAGGAAACATGAATGAGGAAGGAAAAATGGAAAATGAAGGAGAGGAAGGAAGGAAACTTGAATGAGAAGGAAGAAAAAGGAATGGAAAATGAAGGAGAGGAAGGAAGGAAGGAAGGAAACGAATGAGAAGAAGAAAAATGGAAATGAAGGAGAGAAGGAAGGAAACATGAATGAGAAAGGAAAAAAGAATGGAAAATGGAGAGGAAGGAAGGAAACATGAATGAGAAGGAAGAAAAAAGAATGGAAAATGAAGAGAGGAAGGAAGGAAGGAAATATGAACGAGAAAGGAAAAAAGAATGGAAAATGAAGGAGAGGAAGGAAGGAAGGAAGGAAACATGAATGAGAAGGAAAAAAAAGAATGGAAAATGAAGGAGAGGAAGGAAGGAAGGAAATTTAAAAAGTATGTGTTTAAAATTGTGTGGGAAAGGAGAGAAGGAGGGAGGGAAGGAAAAATGAAAGGGGAAAGGGAGGGAGGAGGGAAGGAAGGAAAAATGAAATAGGAAGAAGGTAGGGAGGGAAGAAAGAAAGAAAGAAAGAAGAGAGGCAAATAATTAAACGAGGGAGGGGAGAAAGAATGAGGTGATAAGTTTTGCCCCTTCCTTAAGCGAACGGCGAAAAGGGCGACTCATCTTTCAAACTTGGAAGGTTCCTGCAGACACGAATCCACTTTCATTCTTTTCCCGATCTGCAAAACTGCTGGCTTCACTCGTTCGCAGCGGGAGGACAGGAGAACCCGTGTCACAGGCAAGCGAGGGAGGTGGGGAGGGGGCAGGGAAGGCGAAAGAGACCCTCGGCCTGGGGGAGGACGGAGCCAAACGCTTGCCATTCCCTTGACCTTGAACCGGAGAAAAACGCCGATTTAACTTAAGGCTCAAGAACCACAAAAAAAAAAAGAGAGAGAGATCCACACTGGCGACGAGAAAAACTTCGCCTCTTTCCAATTTTAAGAGGAGGGGGAAAGGGTGTTTTTTTTTTTTTTGCAATGATCGAAACCTCGGCAGGACGATCAAGTCTACCTCCAGCCAGCCAAGGGGGAGGGGAAATTAAAATTAAAATTAAGAATTGCAGAAAGAATGAGGAAAGGAAGAACCGCAGCCGAAAGGAGAGCTTGTCAGAGGCCATAGAAGTCGTGGGGCGCGAGTGGGGTGGGGTGGAGGGGACCAGGAACCGCCGCTGGGGAGAAACCTCTCATTTCCCCCCCCCCGTGGCAAAACCCCTCTGCGTGGGAAGGGACCCCCCCCTCCTAAATCAACCCAAGCGCCCGCCGCATTTAAAAGGCCCCAAAATCGCCGCCGATCGATTTCCGAGCAACTTCAAAACAAAATACATTATTTTATTTTTATTTTTTTCCTGCTCCGAAATCTTTGCGCTTTAGAGATTTCCTCTTAAATCTAAGGCAGCCAAAAAGCCGACGTCCCATTAAAAAAAACTCCAAAAAGCCAAAAGGCCCAACAAACAACCGCGGGAGCATTATTGTGTGTGTGTTTTTTTTTAATCAAATCAAATAAAGTAAAATAAAAATACAGCACGCCAAACACACACACACCCAACCCACAGTCCGCTACGGCCACAAGTTCTGTGAACTCGGGCGCCAGAAAGTTTTCAAGTAAAAGGAAGCGAGTTGCAGCTACTTCGGGAGGCGAGCAAAGTCCTCGCTTCTTTTGGTCAGAAAGTGAGGGGGTGTTGAAGAAGAAGAAGGGGAGGGGGGAATAAACCGTCACTGACAGTCGGAAGACTCCGAAATCTCAACCACCCGCTCTTCTGCCTTGCCCAGTTTGCTTTAAAAATAAAAATAATTACCAGTTCGCATTTCATTAGCCGCCGATTCCTCTTCCCCCAGCCGCGTATTCCAACGTAACACACACAAACTCACACATCCGCGCCCGAATAACTCGGTATACAAACACCCCCTTCCCACGAGAGATTTTTCCTTCCTCTTCTCCATCCCCCCCCAACATTTCAATTTTTCTCACTCAGCCTCCCTCCCCCACCCCAATAATAATAATAATAATAATAATAATAATAATAATTAATAATAATAATAATAATAATAATAATAATAATAATAATAATAATGAATGAACTTGGAACGAAGGACGTCAAAAGTTGCCCAGGAAAAATTCACGGCGAATTAAAAAAAGAAAAGAAGAAACAGAAAGAAAAAAAACTTTTCCCTGTTTTTTTTTTTTTTGCTCGCACCCCCCCTCCTCCTCCCTGCCGCCACGAACCCCAAGTGAAGGGGGGGCTGCCCCGTTCTTTTTTTTTGCATATTGCCAGTCTTGCGCCCCCACCCCACTTTTGCCCGCCCGCCTTGGGAGGCCTGCAGGGTTTTTCTTTCTCTCCCGCGGGCCCCCCACCCCCGGAAAAAAAAAAAAAAAATAAAACAAAAATAAAACCCCCCTCTTGGACTTCGAGCCCCCCCCCCCCCGCCCCCCCCCCTCGCGTCTCCTTCTCTCTCTCTCTCTCTCTCCGCCAACTTCCAGCGAGCAACCAAGCCAGCCGTGAATCTCTAGCGCCCACTATTCAAAGAACGGGGAATTAAAAAAAAAACACACAAAAAAAACTTTTGCATTACACACAAATACACACACACACACACACACAACCGCCAGAACTTGGAAAGAAGTCGGAGAAAGGGAGGAGAAGGAGGAGTTGCGAAGGTTCAACTTTGACTTAAACTTTTCCCCCCCCACCCCTTCTTTTCTCTTTCTCAACACTTTCCTCCCACTCCCAACAATCTCACCCCCCACCCAGCCTCTCTTGGTGGGGGTGGGGGTGTAAAGGGGGGAGCCCGGTTTTTGACGCAAAAGGGAGGGGGGGACCACCACCACCACCACCCCCCCCCGCGCACGATCCCGCACGGGGATGCGGAACAGGGGAAGGAAGCCGAAACGAAACGAAAGGGGGGGAAAAAAAAAAACTTCCGTGGGTTCGCTCCAGATGCGCGGCTGCGGGGACGCGAACTCGAAGCGGCGCAGTTTGTTGGGAGAGAAACCACGCAGCCCACCTTCCCCACGCCCACCCCCCACCCCACCCCCGTGCTCTGGTCCCCGGAGAGCCGAGCCCAGGTTCCCCCCCTCCCCTTTTTCTTCCTCTTCCTCCTCCTCTTCCTCTTCTCCCACACACACACACACACACACACACACACGGGGGGGGCAGGGGGGGAAAGGGAGACCTACTTTTCGGCAGTTTCCTGGCCCGCGCCTTGGATCGCATCTTGCCGGCGCGCTGGAGCCTTTCTCGAACTCGCAGCTCTTCTGCAGCGCGATCATCCTCGCCCCAACATTGTCAGTTTCGGACACCTTCGCACATGCGCAGAAAGCCTTCACCATCTGACACCCCGCTCCGGGGCCAAAAGGGAAGGGGGGAAAGAAGAAGGAAGGAAGGAAGGAAAGAAGGAAGGAAAGGAGGAGAGAGAGAGAGAGAGAGAGAAAGGAAGAAGCCAGCAACCGACCAGGCGAATTCAAAGTTCATCAAAAGGATTCATCAAAGCTGGAGGGGGAAAAAAAAGAGAGAAAGAGAAAGAGAGAGAGAGGGAGGTGGATTTTTCCCTCTCCCCTCGCCCGTCCTCCTATCCTCTTCCTCCTGATCGCTGATCTCCCCCCCCCCCCCCCCCCCCCCCCCCCCCCCCCCTTCCCCCGGATCTGCCCCTTTAAGAAAACCCTCCCACCCCCCCTTCTCGCTCCTCTCTAACCCTTTCCACGCTGCCCCTCGCCCGGGCAGACTTTTGCAAGAAGCGTCTAGGAAGAAGAGGTGACTTTAAAATGAGATATATATATAGATATATAGATATATATATATAATACATTATATATCTATATGGATAGATTCATGGCGTGCTCGTTCCGATAAACGGTTGCAAATTAATCTGGGGAGAGAGGAAAGGGGGGGGGCGAGAAGCAGGCTCGAAATTGGATAATTGCACACATCGCACTTGGCAAATTATAAGATCGTTGTTAGAGACCCTCGCGATTGGCTGGCGCCTTCCCTGGGCTGGACCCGATCCCCTCCGCGCCTACTCGCGAGTAAAGCGCTCTCTCTCTCTCTCCTTTCTCTTTTCTTTCCTTTCTCTCTCTCTTTCTTTTCTCCAGCTTTGATGAATCCTTTTGATGAACTTTGAATTCGCCTGGTCGGTGCTGGCTTCTTTCTTTTTCTCTCTCTCCTCCTTTCCTTCCTTCCTTCCTTCCTTCCTTCCTTCCTTCCTTCCTTCCTTCCTTCTTCTTTCCCCCTTCCCTTTTGGCCCCGGAGCGGGGTGTCTCCTGTCCCTTCTCTCTCTCTCTCTCTCTTTCTCTCTTTTTTCTCTCTCCTGTCCCTTTTTTCTCTCTCTTTCTCTCTTTTTCTTTCTCTTTTTCTCTCTCCTTTCTTTCTCTCTTTCTTTCTCTCTCTCTTTCTTTCTCTCTTTCTTTCTCTCTCTTCTCTCTCTCTCTCCTGTCTCTTTTCTCTCTTTTTTTTCCTCTCTCTCTCTTTTTCTCTCTTTCTTTCTCTCTCACTCTCTCTCTCTTTCTTCCCCCCCCCACCTCCAATGGCCCATCGCCGCCCCCACCCCGAAGTCGGCGTGGCTGGCCCAAAGAAGGAGCGCGCGACCTCCTTGGCAAAGGATCCCGGGATCTGCCTTATGAAAAGTAAGCGCTTTTTGAGATTTGTTATTGCTGCTGCTGCTGTGATGGTGTTGTTTTATGATGTTACCCGTTACTGTTTTATTGTCTCAGGCTGGGGAGGGGGGGTTGCTTGCCTCGGAGGGCGCGTGGGAAGGGGGGGTCCAAACGGGGCTTTCTCTCTCTTCCCTTTCCCCCCCTCCTCCCGGGCGTAAAGGCGCTTTTTAAGGATCGGGGCGCGGGGATCATGGACGGCAGCCTTGCTCGGCTGCGTAAAAACGCGGCTTTGGGTGCCTTTGAAGAGGGAGGGGGGCTCTCGGACCGCATTCTACCCCCCCTCCACCCCCACCCCCATCGCATCTCAGCTGACCCCAAGTGCTGCGAGGCCTTCGGGGTGAGTGGGTGCTTTCCTCCCCCCCCCCCATTAATAAAACCCACGCTGGATAGGGAACCCTTTGAATTCCTTCCTGCTTCCCCACTCCTTTTTTTTTAAAAAAAATTCTCCTTTTCCGCGTTTGCTGGACGCGGAGCCTTCCTTGCAGGTCTACTCAGGAGGAAGCCCCGACGCCGGACCGAATGGAACGGGGGATGGGGGGGTCTCTCGCCTCCTCCCCCGGGTCGAAGAACTGAACCGCCCGCTCTTTTTTCCCTGAAGGAATTGCGGAGAAGGGGGTCCCACCTAGAGATGGGGGAGAAAAGGTAACATTTTGTGCAAACGAGCCTTTGCCGGGAGTTCCCTTCGGTGGGGGGGGGGGGGGGGGGGAGAGATCCGGGGGGGGGGGGGGACCTCCCCCCCCCCCTCTTCCGTGTTTCAGGAGTTTACCTGTGCGGCAAACTTTCCGGCTTTTATTATGTCGTGAATGGATTTATTTCAGGGACACCCTCAATTTTCCTTCGCCCCGTTTTTTCCCCTCAGCTAATTTTGCATGGGTGCTTTCTCCCTAAATGTTGGCTTTTATTATTATTATTATTATTATTATTATTTTTTATTCCTCTTTTTGTTAGCAGGTTCAGGGGGAAAAAATGGCTTGAGCAGAAACCGGGCGAATATAAATATCGGTTTCAGATCGGCGTTTGGATTAAAACGATCCTTTTTCTTTCTTTCTTCGCTTTTTTTCTTAAAAGCCAAGAAAATCGGAATTTTAGCTATCTTGCCAGAAGGAGAGAAACCTTTAACCCCTTGAAAAATAAAAATAAATATTTTTTAATAAAAAAAAATCGAAGGAAGCATTCGGAAAAAGGAAGCAGTCCCTAAATTTGTGAGGACCGGTGACCCCCAGATATAGAGAGAAGGCGGAATCCGGCAGAGGAAAAGAGACCGGCGGTTATTATTAATTATTGTTAACCTAATTAATGGCGTTCTTTGGGGAATTCCAAGTGGCCTGGACGGGATCGGAAGCTTTTGTGCGGGGATTAAAGAGGGGGGGGAGGGGGGACCCAAAAGAAAAACCAGTTTCGGATGCTTTCAATAAATAAAACCAGATATTTAATTAATTAATTAATTTTTTGAAAGGCAGGACCAGGGACGTTCCCACTCCAAAAATAACAGAGGCCGAAAGGCAGGTAGAAAGGCAAAAGGGAGGAGGAAGAAAAAAAACAAAACAAGAGAGGTTTGATGGAAATAATAATAATAAAAAAAGGGGTGAGATCTTTGCTAATTAAAAAAAAAATAACCATGAAAATAATGGGTTTTTTTCCTCCCTGCAAAGGACACACTGGCTTTAGCCACGCCATATGTGTGTGTAAGAGGCGGACAAATATCGGTAGGCCTATAATTCCCAATGCATGCATCCCATTATGTGATTGTGAGTGTGTGTGTATATTCCATATGTAAACACTTGAGGACTGGAGAGGTCTTGGGGGTGGTAGAGAGACCGAGAGTTCCTCTCTGGGTTTCTATTATATGCGCTTTTAAAGTTTTGGCTCTCGTCGAGCTCTCAGTCACCAACCTCTAACTACACAGATTTAATTACAATTGGAAACTGGGGGGTGGGGGGGAGAGAGAAAGAGGGGAGGGGGTCGGCGGGTGTCGCTCGCTTGAAACACCCTTCAAGGTTTTTCCTCTTTCCGTAAACTCCCCCCCCACCTCCAATTTCCACGCGTTTTCCCTAAAACTGGAGAACAGACCTTAAAAAAAAAAGAAAGATTTAAGATTTAAGACCAGCTAAGACGCCAACCCGGGTGGGTGGGTAGCGGCCTTAAAACCTGTCCTTTAATAAAGGGGATTTCGGTTTTGAATTAAACCCCCTCCCCCAAAAAAGAACAAGGTGTTTGGGGGTGGGAGGGAAAAAATCTCCTCTTCCTCGCAGGCCCACTCCCGACCAATTTCCCTTAGGAAGGCGTCCGTTTGGATTTCAAACCTAATTTAATTTTATTTATTTACTTAATTTTTATTTTTTTCAGGGAAACAAAAATGCCTTAGGAAGACGAGGGGTTTTTTTTTCCCCCGATCCGCGGAGGAATTGGAATAAAAGGAAAATCGGTTTATAGCGTCGGATATTCTCCGCCGAGGGCGAATGAGGACGCCGCTTGATTTTCGGGCCGCCGTCGCCGTTCGGAAGAACCGTTTAACCCCGAGTCAATGCCAAACCTTTAAGGGGATGCCTTCCCACGATTTACTCAATCTGGTGGGGGCGGTTTAATTTCGGTCAGATTAGGCAGAGGGTCGGGCAAGGGGGAAATCTGACCCGTTTAGTATTCGCATTTATGCTTCGGTCAAGTTTTTTGTTTTTTAAAGGGATTGACGCGGGTTAAAAAGCTGCCATGTGAACGGGGCTACTTTCAATGTAATGTCTCTTCCCCCCCCTCTTATTTAACGTGTGTTTTTCCTTTCCCCTCCGCTGTGTTTTCTAGGAATAATGTAGAAGCGAAGGCGAATCGCTGATTTTAACCCAAAGCCGCCTCCGTTCGGTTGGAACTGCGGTTTAGTCCCGAGTAAACCTGGGGGGAAATGGCCTGTCGGAAGCGACCGCGATTTACTTGCGAGTTAAGAGCTCTTGGGAATCTTCACTGAAAGGTAGAACTTGGGAGCTGGCCGATTTCTGCTCAGCGGTGGTTGGGTTCCCACGACACGCAACTCGGGGCTAAAGGGAGGTTGGGCCACGTGTGGGTCCCCGTTTCCAGGCCTCGTGTGAACCAGGCGGATGGAGAGAAGCCAGGAAAGGGTCCTCTGAACCCCCAACTCCACAGAAGCTTTTGGCCGCTTCGGGCTGGCCTGAAGTCCCCGCCTGACCGCGATCCAAACGAAGGCTGCGAATGTGGGAGGCGCGAAAAAAAGGGTTTGAAGGATGCGGGTTGGACACGCGGGCCTGCCCTCACCCCGTGTCCAGGAGGAGGAGTGGGGGAGCTACCCCTTTAAACTCCTAAACCTAACAAAATAGAATTAATTTTTTTAACCCTCGGGTAATCCAATGGAGAGGAGAGGGTGGGGGGGAAGGCAGCCTTGAGAAACCCGTTCGCACGACCCCGTTCCGCGGGGTTTTTCCTCCCTGCTTAGCGTCCCATTAACTGGGTCCCCCCCACCCCACCCCACCAAGCAAGGGGAGCCCTCAACTCACCCTTCTCGCTCTCCAGCAAGGCTAAAACGGCCGTTTGGCCTCGTTTGGGGTTCAGAGTGTCGTGGGAACGCACACTTGAAGGGGTTGTGTAAATTTAGGGTGGCCTGTTTGAAAGGAGAGTGGGGGGGGGAGAGAAATAGCTGGTTTTTAAGTGCCCGAATCTAACTCTTTTCTCCTTCCAAAGTTACATATATGATTGCTGTTGATGTGTTTTGTTTCTTAAACCATTATTCAATAATTCTGAGGTTTCGTTGCTAAGAGTAATACTGGCGTTATGGTTAATAAGAGCTCAGGATTATCCAAAGCGTTTGCTTTGCCTCCTACATTTCCTCACCAGGCTGCGTTCTCACAACAAGCTAAGCCAGGTTAGCCCCATCCTGGTTCCCTGTGGCCACAATGCCCAAGCGATTCCCAGCCCACCCTCTGCCAGAAACATGGCAGGGGGCTGCCCTTGTGCTAAACCTGGGGGGGGGGAGGGTTTAAAACCCATTGTGGGAATGCAGCCCTGACAGGCAAGTCTGATTGCTAGCCAAGATACACAACCAGCTTTAAAGAAGGGTGGGAACCGTCTGGAGGGGCCACGGTTAAAACAGTGGCTTCCTGAGTGGCAGTAGGAATTGGGAGGGGGGCGCAAATCGGTAGGCAAGCTGTGGCTGGCCTACCTCACAGGGTTGCCGTAACAAGGAAGAATAAAGGGAAGGGGACTGAGGAAGCTACCATCAGCTTCTTAACCTGCTGTTCCCCAACCCAATGTAGGGTTTGAGGTTACAGCCAGGACGGAGATGGTCAGTCCTCCAGCTCATGGTTGTCCCAAAAGTGCTTCCCCCTCTCCACCCCCAGAGGCGAGTGGACTTTCTGTTTTTTCTTTGAAGACGTTTCGCTTCTCATCCGGGAAGCTTCTTCGACTCAGAGCTGAGGAAGCTTCTTGGATGAGTAGCGAAAAGCCTTCAAGGGGAAAAACCAGAAAGTCCACTCGCCTCTTGAAAAAAAAAAGTACTTTTGGGACAACAAGAGTGTCAGCTAACTTTGATGAATTGGGACCTCTGGGTTTTTCTGTTTAATGGTGCTCTCTTCCCTCATTCCACCTTCCTCTGTCCTTAATTTTTTTTTTCCCCCTCTGTGTCTCTCAACTCCATCCTTGACCAGGCAAAAGTTAACCCCAGGAGTTCAGAGGCCCCACTCTGGATGTGCAAAGGGGAGCTTGTGAGCAGAGAAGCAACACCTGGCTGCGTTCACAAGACACGCCAGCCCAGCTCTCACGCTAGCGGATTGGGGGTGAGTAAACCTTGGCTGAAGGAAGAAGCCAGACCAGGGCTCCTCCATCTCCCTCAAGTGATGGGGGGGTGGGGGGGGGAGGTGTTGGATCATTTGAGGTTCAGGGTTTGGAGGGAAGTTGTGTGAACAAGAACCATGCTGTTAAGTCGTGAAGGGGTGTGTGCTTTGTTAACCTAGGTGTAGAGTTGCATGTGTGAACCCACCAGTGGCATAAGAGTGTGTGAGAGAGAGAGAGACAGAGAGAGGGAGACAGGAAGAAAGGGAGAGGAGGAGGGAGACAGAGAGGGAGGAGAGAGAGAGACAGGGAGAAAGAGGAGAGAGAAGAAGGAGAAGGAGACAGAGAAAGCAGAGAGAGAGGAGAGAGGAGAGAGACAGAGAGACAGAAAGAGAGAGAGAGAGAGAGATAGAAAGAGACAGAGACAGACAGAAAGAGAGAGTGGGAGAGAGAGCGAGAAGGAGAGAAAGAGAAAGAGAGAGATAGAAAGAGACAGAGAGAGAGCAGGGGAGAGAGAGAGAAGGAGAGAGAGAGAGGGAGACAGGAAGAAAGAGAGAGGAGGAGGGAGACAGAGAGAAGAGAGAGAGACAGGGAGAAAGAGAGGAGGAGAGAGAGAGAAGAAGGAGAAGGAGACAGAGAGAGAAAGCAGAGAGAGAGGAGAGAGGAGAGACAGAGACAGAGAGAGAGAGAGAGAAAGAGACACAGACAGACAGACAGAAAGAGAGTGGGAGAGAGAGCGAGAAAGAGAGAGATAGAAAGAGAAAGAGGGAGAGAGAGAGAGAAGGAGAGAGAGAGAGATGGGCCAAACCATCCAGGGACTTAAAAATATCTATTTAAAAATGGAGCAAAATGTTTCCCTGACACCCAGTTCACCCACCATCCTCTGTTCCCACTATTTTAACTATGGCTTAATAAGCAATCAACCACCATTGTCTGGATTTCCACTGCACTCTTAAGTCACAAAGCTGGCCTTCGGAAACCACAATGAAGCGATTCACACATTCCATGAAGCCCAAACTGCCACAAGCCTGGGCATAACGTGCTGTGTGAACTTGGCCCTGGTGTTAAAAACCCTTTTAGGTCAAAATCAGATAGCTCACCCACATAAAGGAGAACTCATTCTCTACCCACACAGCCCAGTTTTTTCATTTAAAGGCCATATATATATATATCAGACCGTTTCTACTGGGTAAATCTTTTCCCCTTTGACCAAGTTGTCTGTTTCTGCTAATCCCCTTTCTTTACTTCCTTCTTTGAAAAAGGAATTATTTATTATTATTATTATTATTATTATTATTATTATTATTATTATTATTTGAATTACTATCTGGCAGGGAAATCAGAAAGCGCATCTTTAATGGGAGAATATAATTATCTGTTTTTTTAAAAAAAATCATTTTCCTTTAGTGTGAATGAAAACAAAATCTCCCGAAAATCTCACTAGAGGACGGGAGGAGAGGTGAAATTTTCTGTAGGTTTCTACTTTCTTTCTTTTTCTTTCTCTTTCTTTCTTTCTTTCTTTCTTTGTTTCTTTCTCTTTCCTTCTTTCTTTCTCTCTCTCTCTCTCTCTTTCTTTCTACCTACCTACCTACCTACCTATCAATTGATCTATTTATCATCAATCTATCCATTGATCTATCCTCCCTCCCTCCCTCCCCACACCTCTCTCTCATATTTTGGAAAATTTATCTAGCCTCCCACTCACTCACAGCGACTCTAAGCGGCTTACAGAAAATAAAAAAACAGAATGTAGAATTTAAAAAAAAATAATATACAATAATAATAACCTCCGTTCCTCCCCCTCGGCGACAGCACACATTCAAAACCGGCTATTTCATGGGGTCTATGATCCATCCCACTCTGGGTTGCCCAGACCTGCTGGCATAAACCTCCAAATTCAATAATATTGTTTGGGTATTGATGGGTGTTGTAGTAACCTAGGATTCTCAAGAGTTGCTTCTCCTATCCTAAGGCGCAGCTTTTAACTGCATTTGCGTGGATCGCAGCTTCTTGGGTGAGTTGGAGATTTTTTTTAATTTTTTTAAAAAAAAAATTTTTTATATATATGCCGCCTTTCCCCGGAGACTCAGGGCGGCTTACAATGCGTTAAGCAATAGGTTGCCTCGGGAGCTCTTTATTATATCGTGTCTAGTGGCACACTTCAGCACAATGTGTCTAACACACCTCCTCCAACACAAAGAGCAGCTTTGTGAGGTTGTTAAGATTTATTGGAACTGTTTAAACTTGTTTGCTTTTTTAGAAAGAAAGAAAGAAAAAGAAAAACCCACATTAAATAAAAGAGACGATGCAGCAAATACCCTGGTCTGTTTTAGACCCAGACTACAACTCCCATAAGCCCCGGTCGACCTGGCCAAAAAGTGAGGCACAAGGGCAACTGCGTTCCAAAGATAGCCTGATAATATCCAGGGTGCTTGTCGTCATTCAATTAAAATAAAACCAGTTTATTTTTTTTATTCGGTATTGGCTGAGAGACGAAACAAGCGCTCAAGTTTTAATTTCTGAACCGTGGTCCTGTTGGAGAGGCCACCAAAGAAGTCCATGGGCCTTGTAGAAAAGCCACAGCCATAAACCTTGGTTTCCAAGTTGGGGGGGGGAGGACCCGGATTGTGGGGGCAATAAACTGACTTTGTATAAAAAACAACACCGCTTAGCCCCCCCCCAAAGCCCTACTAAGCAGGTAGATACAAAAGTATGAAGGCGCATTGTAAGCCGCCCTGAGTCTCCGGAGAAGGGCGGCATATATAAATCGAACCAATAAATAAATAAATAAATAAATAAATAAATAAATAAATAAATAAATAAATAAATTTGGTTGGGGGGGTTGAATCCAAGCACGCGCGCTCTCTCACCAATCTTGCCACTTCTAGAATTGCGCACCTGATCTATTCACGGCCCACTCATACCAGAGGAATATTGCCTGTGTGTGTGTGTGTGAAAGCAGAAAATTGGGGTGACTCTGAATGCTTGAACAGGAATTGGTTAGTTAAATAGGGGGTTAGAGTTCTGGTTTTCCCGAGGGGGGGGGACAAATCTTCTCCAGTTTGAGCCCCCCCCCCTTTTTGTAAAGTGACTTTTTCCCCCAGGGAAAATGTATCACGATTTTTTTAAAAAAAAAATAAAATAAATTCAACCATCCATTGTCCCTCCCTCTTTTTTACTGTTACCTTCCCTCTTGCGTGTTTTTAATGCCAGCTACTGAGGACTAGAAGCATGACTCTTTTTATTTACGGAATCTCAGGAAATGGGGGTGGGAGAGGGTATTAACTCTGTGTCTCTGTGTGTGTGTGTGTAAGATGACTTTGTATAAAAAAGAACACCGCTTAAGGGGTCCCAAAAAGCCCTACTAAGCAGGTATATACAAAAGTATGAAGGCTATTGCTTAACGCGTTGTAAGCCGCCCTGAGTCTCCCGAGAAAGGGCGGCATATAAATCGAATCGATAAATAAATAATAAATAATAATAATAATGTAAATGCTTCGCAAAAAAAAAAAAAATGTGCAGGATTGTAAACCTGGGCAAATCATAAAACTCGATCTGTTGCAGAAACAGAAAGCTCAAAGCTAACGCCCGTTGGCTGATCTGCCTTTTCTGATCGATATTCTTTTGTGCGAAGGAAGGGAAGGGGGGAGGGGGGGGGAGAGAAAGTAATTAATACCAATTTGCCCCGCGGGTTGAGAAACGTTTAAAAGCGGACGCTGGACTTTTCAAGCCCCCAACTCACTCTCTTTCTCTTCCTGGGGAGGGGGTGGGGAGTTCAGATCCTAACAAAACCTGCCAAGGATCTAAGCCGCTGGATAATCCCAACAATGACACTTTTGAGTAATTTTAAGTGTGTGTGGAGGGGAGTGGATTCTGGGGGGGGGGGGGGGTAAATAAGCAAACCTGCTAGATTTGGGGAGCTCTGTCTGTTAATAGAGGGGGGCTGGTCCTCCTGCCAGGTGCTGCGCTGAGAATCCCAGGCACCTTGATTCAGGGGTGAAATCCAGCAGGTTCTAACAGGTTCTGGAGAACCGGTAGCGGAAATTTTGAGTAGATTCAGCAGGTTCTAATAGGTTCTGGAGAACCGGTAGTGGAAATTTTGAGTAGATTCAGGGGTGAAATCCAGCAGGTTCTGGAGAACCGGTAGCGGAAATTTTGAGTAGATTCAGGGGTGAAATCCAGCAGGTTCTAACAGATTCTGGAGAACCGGTAGCGGAAATGTTGAGTAGTTCGGAGAACCGGCAAATACCACCTCTGGCTGGCCTCAGGAGTGGGGTGGGAGTAGAGATTTTGCAATATCCTTCCCCTGCCATGCCCACCAAGCCACGCCCACAGAACCGGTAGGGGAAAAAAATTGGATTTCACCCCTGCCTTGATTAGAGAGGGGGGGGCGTCTTCTTCCCGCACTGGGGGTTAGTTCGAAACCCACCCACCCCTACACATACACGCACCTCTTTTATTTTAAAGAAACAAACCCGTTGCAGCTGTAAAGAAATAAAAAAAAAAGTTGTACAGCGCCCCCCCTCCAAGGTACAAGACGGTCGGGTTTAACGCGGGTGGGGGGGGGCGTCCTCCAGCCTCCCTGGCCAGGCGAAGCCGCACCCCCCCCCCATGAAGAAGGGGGCGGGGTCGTTGCCTTTCCTTGGCGTCGCGAGCATGGGCCCCGGGAAGGCGTGCGCGGCCCCCCTTTTTTTGCCGGGGGATAAAGTTTCTTTTACGGAAGGGGGGGCGTCTAGGGCCCCGGATTCCAACTTCTCCCTCTTCAAATAGTTTTAAACGGTTTTTTTGGGGGGGTGGGGGAAAGGAATGGCAGGATTGGGAGGCCTCCTGCCAAGCTCCAGCCCCTCCCCCACAACACAGAAGCTCGTTTTCTTTGCTGGTTTTCTTGGAGGAGCTCAAGCGGGGTGGGGGGGGGGGTGAGGGGGGGATTGTAAACCAGCCACAGTCCCTGCCTTCCATCACTTGTAACAGAAAAGCTCCCTGGATGACTGCTACCTCTCTTTTA